CTCGCTACCTTAACATACATTATCTAAATTAAATACATTGTTCAATCATGTGAGTAATGACGACATCGTTAATAACTTATGACGTCACATCCATTTCCGGTTCAATGATCCATTTTTTATTTTTTTAAATTGTTCTAGTAATCTAGTAATGGCGTCACACTCGGCATGAATGTTATGATTGCATTTTTGAACGCTGCGAATTACGATATAAATAAGAAAAAAAATCGATTAAAAAAATTGAATGATGCTGCATGATTTCAATTGAGAACCCATTTGATGTGAAGTTATGATAAACACACAGACTTGGCTTTGACTTGAATCTATGTAATATCACACATGCATAGCGCAGTAAATGTCTACGAATTCCGGATAAGTACGACTAAAAATTCTATAACAGGTCGCAATTTTCTCAATACCTAACTCGCGTAAAGCCTGACGAATTTTTTGCGTTACCGATCACTGATAACAGGACTCGAGACTCTGTTGATCCCTAGGGGTATCAGTGAATTCACAGACTGAATTTATTTTTTTATCAATTAGACTTTGCTATTGAGATATACTCGAGAAAATACCCGCGTCATTTTCCATGTAAAAAAAATATGGCTCAAAGCGGTTGGATTTAAATGAAATAAACACGTTTGAACATTATTGAAACGTTTAATCGCATCGTTTTGTGATTTAACAATGAAAATGAAGTTATTCCAGTTAGAATAATTGACGCTAGAAAAGGTGACACCTTCTCGTAACAAAAATTACGTGCTCTCCGTCATTTGAGCGCGGGGGGGGGGGTCGTACAAAGCGCTGTGCTCCCTGTTCTACCACCTCACGTTTCATTATAATATAATATCGTTTGAAATACAGTTATACCACTATTTGTAATTCAAACATTATTTACTAGCCTACTTTATTAAATCACCTACATTACATGCAGAAATTGTACGAAATTATATGACGGCGGTTGCGGAATAATTTTATTCCATTAGAGAGCGTTGTGCTACATGTTCAATAACAGCACGTTTTATTGTATAACGTCGTTTGAATTACAGTTATACAACTATTTGTAGTTAAGACAATATTATGCATTATAATAAAAAAATTAATAACAAAAAAATCACAACCTCTAGCCTATGAGTCGCATCTGCCCCATGTTCACCACCACCTCCCCAATCACCTTAAATATCGATATTTCTGAATAAAATGTCAAATTCTTGATGCGTGCACATTTCGTATTGTAACTGGAGAGAATAATTTGTCTTAGAAAATTTTAATGCAGTTATAGTGGCGATGCCATTGTTCCCAATATCATTGTGCTTTATGTGATACAAAAGGCAAAACATACATGACCATGAAGCACATACGCGCAGTGCACTGGAAATCGAGAGTTTCCTCAGCACGTAAAAATTTAAAAATCAATACAATTGAAATGGAAATTTACGGAACGCCGTAACTGTCTTAGATGATGATCTGTCATTATGTTATGAAGTCCCATCTTTATTTTATGCAGTCCCGTATTTATGTTATGCAGTCCCATCTTTAAGTTATGCAGTCCCGTATTTATGTTACATAATCCCAA